AAAAAAAAAAAAAAAAGAAAGAAAAAAGAAAAGTGAGCTAGGGAACTAAACAAAACTGTATTCCTTCTGTAAAGAAGAAACAGAAATGACTAGCATCGTTTCTGTTTGGGATGGGATGGGGAACATGGGGGGGTAATGAGAATACGAATTAAATGATAGAGGGTAAACTGAGGTATAACGGTTTGAGCAGGGAGGCGAGTTAGACATGGGAGAGACGAGGCGGTGGAAGGGAGCATTAGCCAGAACCATATGGAAACCTATTACATTGCAACCCAATTTAAAAAAAAAAAAATCCCACAATTTTAAAAAAAGAGTTAAAAGGCAGATACCTTGCATGGCTGTGTAACGCTTCTCCTAGAAACTGTGGATTATTAAACAAAATCCCAGTGCTGGTTATAGAACATCTCTGTAGGAGTTGTTGGTCAAAGAGACTCCCAAAGCTCCCAATGTAACAGGGGCTCTTGTCATTTCTCGTGGTTGCCCACCATAAAAGGATGACAATGCCTTCCTTTGAAGACACTACACACCTTGGTTACAAGATACAAAGAAATCAGGCTGCAATGGAGCTGGAAACTCACCTCTTCCTAGTTTTCACAGTGCCAGAGGCATTATGAAGGCTGCTGGGGCAGAAAAAAGACACCAGCAGTCTTATTCTTCTGTGAACCCTATGAACTTCAATACCAACTTGCCCTGCAAGACATGCCCACTGGTCCAATGGTGGCACCACTGTTATGGAGACAACCAATCATTTCCTAATTAGATTAGCCTGATCCACAGGAGGGGATCCATGACTGTAATCCTGTAAATCTGGTTTAAAACACATGACTAGGGACATTCATAAGCCCTGGAGGGAACTTGCCATTCTTGTTCAGCTAAATTGATAGAGCCTCAAACTATATTCTAAGCCTCTATTTGTACCCTTAGAAAAACGATGCTGTCACCCTAATCACAGAAACTTCTTTTTGCAGTGAATAGTGGTGAACACAGAGACTTATGGTTGCACAGGGTGCTGAGAAAAGGTGACAGTTGAAAGCTCAGCCTAAACAAGACATTTATAGCAGCCTCTCTGAGGCTCAGACAACATTATGGAACAGGGGGGATATAAGTGCCAGAAAAACAGAAAAATGGCTATCACATGTTATCTTCTGGGCATGACACAGCCATTGAAATCACAAACTCATAGTAGCTCCTGCATAAAACTGTCTTAAGGTACACGGGGCCTCTTGGGCCTTGCCCTCTCTGCTGAATTGTAGATATTGATATTTTAGATTCCAGAAGAGATTGAGTTAATTGTCTTCCAAGACTTGGTGAGTCTACCAAGCCCCATAGATAGCTCCAAACCTGTCACCCAGATGGTCCTGGTAAAGTCAGTGGGTCACAAAATAAAACAAAAAGACATGAATGTGAGAAAAGGGACCTTTAGAGAAGGAGGAAGTTAATAAGGGTAAGTGGGGGATAAGAAAATGGAGGACATGAATAATCAGAGCACATTATATATGTGGATGAAAATTATCAAAGAACAAATTTAGTTAATAAAGAGGTAGCCTGAGAAATTCTTTGCTTTGTCTTTTACGTCTTAAGTTAAATTCAACTCAATTTATTATCTATTGTGGGAATATTTACCACCTTAAATATATTATTTTAGAATAAGAGGTTATCTTATCGATAGAAAGGATTTTTTTTTACCATCACACCATTGCACCTGTTAGAGATGCCCAGGGGTGGAAGATATTGTCCTGTTACCATAGAATTCATAAAATCGGCAGAATGGACATTATTTATAAACCATCTTCTTGTAATCATTCCACCATGAATGAAATTAACTATAACTTTAAAGTTCAGACATCTAACAACATCCACTCAGGCAACGCCTGGCAGGGCACACAAACTTGCACACCTTGGCTTTGATAATCCCTTAAGCCACATCAGATGTGCTACGATGACATCTTAAGAGTTTGATTATAAAGCTTCCCCATTGTTCATAGATATGGGCAGTTCTTCACAATGAGTCACACACACAAAAAAAAAAATTCACTCTTCTCTATATAATCATACAACCCTATTTATTCTGCTCCTCACTGAGCACTGATGCAAATTATTGTACTGCCTAGAGGAAGCAAACATTATAAATCTAATTATATAAAATCATCAGAGTTATACAATCATCAGATCCTTTCTGTGAAACCGCTGGCATCTGTCTCTTTATTGGGGTAGGGGTTACCTTGGCCTGTGGAACAACAGAATCTATAAAACACTACCACCATCATCTACCACTCACCCAGATCCTGGCTACCTATGACGCCTGCTTTCATTCCAAAGGAGACTTTGTTTTATCCCTGTATCCACCAAAGAAACACAATAAAAATTAATTAACACCCTTTTCACTTTTGTCCTTATTTGTTAGAAATCTAATTAGGCCCAAATAGAAGGAGAATCTGGCTATTGTGGTCAGTCTCAGTGTGCTTTAGAAAATCTTGGGTATTGAACTAGGTGAGGATGTCAGCAGGATGCAATGGTCTTTAATTTACAGCCCTGTACAAGTGTAAAAGAAAAAAATATTTGTTAGGAAGTCAATAGTGGTTACTAGAGCCAAATAAAAATTATCTCGAGTACCTGTGAAATAGCAATAATTATGCAGGCATGTGTGTACGGGTGTTTATAAGAAAGGTCATGAGAATATGGATCTTCTCATGCAATTGCTATTTACTGAGCACATAGTATGTGTTAGGAAAATTGTATTTTTGAATTTTCATAAGAATTCAGCAAGTAAGTAACTATAAGAATTCTCATTTTACAGATAAAAAATATCTGGGGGAATGTTTCTCAAGGTTGAAAGGAGTGAGATAGATTTTTCTATTGATTTATAAGCTGCTATAAGGGTAGAGTCTAAATCTTTCTAATAAAATAAGATAATCAAAGTTGAGACTCAAAGTGATTAGATAAGTAACTGAGGCAAAGCAGAGCAAGAACGTACATACAGGTCAGTATGTGAATGACAAAGCTCACACTCTTTTAAATGACCTCATACTGTCTCTTGGAAGTGCTTGCTTCATCGATCAACAGTGAGGGAATTACAGCATCTATGTGAAGATGTAGATGAACAGTCTTATTAAATAAGAAACACAGAGCCAATTGCAGAGTTAAAAGTCCAAGAGGTCAGTGCAGTAGTTGAGAGCTGAGCTTACCTTTTGCTGCTGCTGCTGTCCTTCCTCTCAGCAAGAGCGCTACTTCCTGTGCATCTGTCTTTTTATAGACTTTCTGTTCTGCCTTCTCATTGGCTGTAAACCCAACCACATGACCTCCTTGTCACTGCCCATCTATACAGACATCCAGGTCTTCTATGGTTGGTATTGAGATTAAAGGTGTGTGTCTCCATGCTGGCTGTACCCTTGAACACACAGAGATCTGCCTAGCTCTGCCTCCTAAGTGCTGGGATTAAAGGCATACACCACCACTGCCCAGCTTCTGTTATGGTTTGCTATTAGCTCTGACCCCCAGGCAACTTTATTTATTAACATACAAATAAAATCACATTTCAGTACAAATAAAATATCACCATATGAAGAGGCATACATGATTAACTAAAAAGAAACCATGTCATCTCAAACATGGGGCAACTGCCATCATCAAATTAACTGATAATATTTAAGTATTTGTTTGATGTGAAATCTTATTAGTGTTTATTGATGTGAAGCACTTGTATGAGTTGATAAACTATAACTAGGTTAGTTGTTGATGAAAACTGTGAATGATGGAGACATAGAGCATTAGAGCCACATACCCCCTCTCTTCTTGATGGATGCCAGATCCAATGCAGGAGTTCTGTGCGCAACAACCCAAGAGGGAAACCTTTGCAGGTCAGGCAACGGGAATACCTTTTAGTAAAGCTTCCAGATCCACGTGAAGAAGCATTCCCTTGTGAGAATCTCCCTCAAATGAGTTAGGACTCTCTGTATGTTCCTAAGGATAGTTAGTATTGACAGGGTATTTGACGGACTTTTCAAATAGTAAACCAGCTCACACATTTACAATGTGCTACATTTAATTATGAACTATCAATCTTTATAATGTATTATTCTATTGCATTTGATAATTTACTAAGACTCTTGCATCCATGTTCATGAGAGAAACAGGTGTAATTTTTCTTCTGTAAATATTGGGATGAAGTAAATGGATTTTACCCATGAGAAGTACTAGGAGTTGATTCTTCCCTGCATTAGCCCCGGAAGAGCCTGTCAAATTGAATGCTGTATTATTTCTTTCTGGAGTGAATACAGGAATTCGTTGGTGAAGCAAGATGGATCTACAGTTTTATTTGAAAAGCAATTTTAGATGCAAGATCCAAATCTATTTAATAGATAAAAGATTATTTAAATTTTCTATTTCTACCATTGTTAGCTTTAGTGTGTGGCATTTTCTATAACCTCATTTCCATATTATTCAAATTGTTGTTTGATGCAAGACTCTTATTGGTAGTTCTGACTTAAATTCTGAGAGATTATGGATCTTTTACTCTGTGTTTTAGATTTCAGTTTAACTCTTCTGTAGCCCTAGCAAATGTCCTGGGGCAAAAACCCCAGCAGTTTGAGGCTTTTTAAGTTTCCAGCTCCCCACCCCTGGCCCATTTGTCTACCAAAGGCTCTGGCTCTGCCTTGCTACTTCAGCAAAAACCAGGTGTCTGTCACACACTAAGTAAGCATAAACCATGGCGGAGGGTGATCAGGTGGCCTTTCTCTTTCCCAGAATTACAGAGTGCCTCATTCCCGTTAACCTGCACAGCTCTTTCCTGAACTTCTGCAATTTATCTGTTAGGATCTAGCTGTTGTAGTGAGAGCCTTACCCTGCTGGCTACTGCTGTATCCTGTTCAGAAGCACAGGTTTATTATGACCTACCTACAGGCAGAAAAACCCTCTGGTTACAAGTAGCAACATAGCTTAAGAGAAAACGGATCAGTTGTTTCTTTTGACTGATCGGTGCATTTGTAAAGGTGGCTGGCTTCAGCTACTGGCAATCTAGGAATAAAAAAATAAAACAGAATCTCTCCTGGCTACAACTCAGTTATGCATCCATTCCTGTTTTAGGCATTATTCATGCTAAATAGATTGAAAGGGAAGATGTGTGATTACTCAAGAGCCATATCCATACCACATCTTTAGAGAAAAAAATAAATGATTGTGGACAGTGGGAGCAAATGTTCTCTCTGTTTGATAACTCCAGCCACAATCCGTGCCTTGGTCTTCTCAGCTGCCATAGTTGCTACTTGCCAGGTAAGTTATACGTGGATTGCTGCTTTGCTTATGTTAAGTTGAATCCTGGGTCTTGATCATCTTTTGGTATCCAAGTCAGGATAATTCATGCTCGACTTCTGATAGGTACTTAATAAGTGCTGGGGCATGGATGGCCCTGGAGATGGATTTCCTGATTGCATTTCATACAGGTCAGTGGCTAAAAGATGATGAATTTCTCACTTTCCAACTCTAATGCTATGCTAATATGTGCTGTCAGGAGAAAGTACTTTTAAAACACCATGGGTTATTGTTGTATATTTTATGTAACATTCTTCTGAAACAAAATTAAATGAGAAAATGGGGATGGGTACCCCATTAATTCTGGGGTACACATTTTGCCAACGTGTATTTTGGGCTTGGCATGTCTTCCTTTGCTGTGATATGATATGTCCCATTGTCTATCTTCTAGGAAGGAAGTTATGGAAGACTCCAAGGGAGTAAATTATTGGATGAGTGGAACTATGTCAAACAGGTAGCCCTGTTTCCTCCCAACTGGTCCATGCATCTCTATGCAAAAAAGGAAAGTGTTTTGAATTTCTTCTTTTACATACTTTGCTGACAGAAATTTCTGACAAGAGTCGATATTTTGAGCCCAGGCCTGAAATGGAGCAGACCCTGCCAGTAGCTGGGCAACAGCAACAGGAGATATGATGGTTAATAGCATTTCAGCACAGGCCTTTTAAGCGAATTAATAAAGGGTTAAAATGCATAGTGTCACAATAAAGAGCATAGTTCCTGCAATCAGAATCCCAGTCCTGCTGCTTGAGTGGCCTTAGAGATTCCTAATTTGTATCATAGAGCTATTGTGATTAATTGGAATAATGCATGTAAAGTGGTTAGCATGATGCCCTCCATAACCAAGGGTTACTATTGATGGTTTTACTGACTTGCGCAGGAAATTTTAGCAATAGAACCTCCAACTATCTGTCACCATGCTAAAAAGCTTGTGGGGCTATAACGACGTGTAAGTGCTGAAAGACTTAATAATCACTCCATTTTAAATGTGTAGTACATGTTTATTTGTCTTAGTTAGGGCTACTAGTGCTATGGTGAAACGCCATAACCAAAAGCAAGTTGAGAAGGAAATGGTTTATTTGGCATAGACTTCCACATCATAGTCCATTCCTGAAGAAAGTCAGGATAGAAACTCATGTAGGGCTGGAACCTGGAGGCAGGAGCTGATGCTGAGGCCATGTAGGGGCGCTGCTTACTGACTTGCTCAGCCTGCTTTCATATAGAACCCAGGACCACCAGTCCAAGGATGACATTACCCGCAATGGTCTGGAAATCACTCATTAAGAAAATGAATTACAGGTCTGCCGACAACCTGATCTTAATGGAGGCATTTTCTTAAACTTGTGTCAAGTTGACATAAAATTATCCAGCATAACATTCTTTTTGCCCACTAAAATATCCAGACAAATTGTTTTGAATGCATGCATCTCCAAGGGCAGAGACCATCCCGAAAAGCTAAACACTCCAAACTGTGATGAGGAAAATGAGATGCACACTTCTATAAATGTCTGTGCTGCTCAGGACTCACATATGTGTCAAAACCTCCTTAGACCACAATGTACAAAATTTTACGTTGAATGTCATTTTAAAAAGTGTATTATTAATTACAAAGAAGCTAAGAGGAGTGGCTGACAACCATTTATTTACCCTGCATTTATTTTGCTCTACAGCTAATCCTAAGTAGTTAGTATCCAAGCTACATTCACTTCTCAGTCCTCAAGCTTTTACTTCTCGCCTCTTTCCCAATTTAACCCTTTCTGGAAATGTTCTTTTTGTCTACCTATTTTCCATTTGCAATTGATTTGAGTTATATTGAATATGAGCCCAGACTACATATACTACAGACAGAAGAATGCTGGCCCTGTTCATTCTGCAGTAAAGGAATAGGTAGAGAAGAAATATTTTATTAACATAGAGAGAGAGACATGAGCACAGACTAAGAAGTAGGGGGATATGAGTCTTAAAGAATGATAGGAGTCAGGCATGTCTAGTCAAGAAAGGGGGGATGTTGGCATGGCAAACAGTACAGAGGCATGGACTTAATTCAAGGCAATAGGAAATGTCCAATGATTAGCTATTGCCCAGATATGAAGTTCAAAGTAGTAATTAGTGAAAATGGATCCTGGAAAAGTGGACAAGAGAAAATTAAAATTAATTTAAGGAGCCCTTATTTCATTTTAAGAATTTGGGATTATTTTTCCTTACAGAGTAGGGAACTAATAAAGGATATTGAACCAGTGAGACATGGTAAGTTTCCCATATTCCATCAATTACTGGCTACAGGAGACCATTTAAGGTTTTTGTAACAGGCACTGAGAATAGTACAAACATGTTCCCATGACCTATGCTAAAAACACGTGAACCTGAATGCAGACTGTGCAAAGGGATGGCCAGGAAGACAGGATTTGCATTTTCTTATCAAAACTGCCCTTAAAAATCCTGTAATAAATATTGTTTAAAATCTATCTTCTCACTCTATTGCCCAGGCTGATCTTGAACTTGTGTATTCAAGCAATCCTCCCACCTGAGCCTCCTGAGACCTGGGGCTACAGGTATGTACCACTGAGCCCAGCCATCGGAAAACATTTTAAAATTAGATAATGAAACTAGATTAAAAGTAAAATGTGAAGACCGATGAATCGTTATAGTGAAATTCTTTATCATAAGGTTGTTATTTGAGACTTGTGTTTTTGCATACACCTAAAGCCCCAAATATCCTGGCTACCATCCTCTAGTCTTTTTGTTCTAGAGAGATGGGAGAGAATTGCCATCTGTTCCGGGAAGTTTCCCAGCAGCCTCTATGCTTCTTCTTTGAAGCATTATGGAATAAACCAGAAGAGTCGAAGGCTAAGCCTTAGACTCCAATTCTATTGCTAGGACCCTTCCTGGGACCCAAGAACTGATAGTGTCTTGGGCTCTGAGCCCTCAGATGGCACAGCTGTGAACATCTCTTCTTTGAGATTGGGACCCTTCTTTCTCATCTTTTATATTTACTCCTAACATTTTTCCTGATACTAATTATTCAAAGAAGCATCTCTCAGACTTCTAGCCATAGAATTTATACCTTGAGAAAACATGAATATTTTATCTTATTCTGCACTGTGTAGGGGAAGCATAATAAACAGTAAAGAGATATCACCCTGTTAAGGTGGCTCTAGGCTTTTTCATCTGTGCTTCTAAATTAGGGGTCAAAGAATCGTGACCCATAGGTCAGATCTATTTAAATCTAGACAAAGTGTTTCTTATAAGAAAGGTGTACTGGAAGCCATAATACAAGCAAACAAAGCAATGCAAAAAATACCATTGAGTTCATGTTGCGTTGGCCGTCTACTGCTGGGCATGGGGCCTGCCCTTTGGATATTTTTGTCTCATTACTTTGGGCATTTTTTTATCTTGTTGGTTTTTTTGCTTGTGTATTATAGCTTCTAATTTTGTCATTTTATGGAGTGTTTGCATGGGCATGCAAGTGTGTGTGCGTCGTGCTTTTTATTTGTTTCTTTGTTGCTTCGTTTTATTGTGATTTTTTTCCTGTTTGAGAGGGGGGGGGGGAGAGGGAGAGGGAGAGGGAGAGGGAGTGGAAGAGGGCCTGAAATGGATAAGATCTGGGAGAAAATGAGGGGGGGAACCATGATTAGAGTATAGTATATGAAAAAGTTATTTTCAATTAAAAATGTTTGAAGCTGGGCGGTGGTGGCGCACGCCTTTAATTCCAGCACTTGGGAGGCAGAGGCAGGCGAATCTCTGTGAGTTCGAGGCCAGCCTGGTCTCCAAAGCGAGTTCCAGGAAAGGCGCAAAGCTACACAG